TGCTTTTGCATTTGTGTGTCTGTGTGTGTATAGGTGTGTCTGTGCCTGGAAGTCATGGCAATCTCTGGTGACTCCTACTGGGGCATGGAGGACATTCAGAGAAGTGGCTTGATAGACTACCTCTGCCTCCCAGCCCTGGTATTCTTTGGAGGTCTCTCATCCTTCATGCAGGGTCGGCCCTGCTGAGTTTCCAAGATGGACAGATGGTTTGACTCAGTATAAAATAGCTTTCGATATCATTATATCTGATTTAAAATGGTGACAAAAATGCAGATTAAAAAAAATCCACAAAATAAGGCAATACTCAAATAGCGGGACTCGATCTAAAAATTAGGGTAGTTTGCAGAAATACCTAGGAACAGGGGGAAAGTGAATGGGGTTTGTAAACATGCCAAAGCTCAAACATACCGGGGGGGGGGGATATACACCATGAGATCTCAGCTGCTGTTCTAAGGGTTGCCTAATAACCCCAGAAACATTGTTGCAGGCAGGCACAGCCCCCACTGAAAAGGGGGCGGCAATAAGGGAAAGGACAATTTATGGCGGAGGTGGTGGCGGCAGTGTTTGCAGGGCAGGGAGGTGGGCGACCGAGCCAGCCAGTTAGATGGTGAGACAGAGAGAGATAGCAGCGGACAAAAGAGCAAAAGGAAAGTAAGGCAAACAGGCCATGGTGCATGGACCAAGTGTGAGGAAGAAAGGTGGTAATAAAAGGAAGATGCAAGCAAGCTAGGGCAAGAAGAGAAGGAGAAGAGACTGGATTTATACCCCGGGTTGCCTAATAACCCCAGAAACATTGTTGCAGGCAGGCGCAGCCCCTACTGAAAAGGAGGTGGCAATAAGGGAAAGGACAATGGATGGCGGAGGTGGTGGCGGCAGTGTTTGTAGGGCAGGGAGGTGGGCGACCGAGCCAGCCAGTTAGATGGTGAGACAGAGAGAGATAGCAGCGGACAAAAGAGCAAAAGGAAAGTAAGGCAAACAGGCCATGGTGCATGGACCAAGTGTGAGGAAGAAAGGTGGTAATAAAAGGAAGATGCAAGCAAGCTAGGGCAAGAAGAGAAGGAGAAGAGACTGGATTTATACCCCCGTCCCTCACTACCTGAAGGAGTCTCAGAGCGGCTTACAATCCCCTTCCCCTCCCCACAACAGACACCCTGTGAGGTAGGTGGGGCTGAGAACCGCCCTTGAGAGAACAGCTCTGAGAGAACTTGTGACTGACCCAAGGTCACACCAGCAGCTGCATGCGGAGGAGTAAGGAAATCAAACCCGGCTCTCCCAGATTACAGTCCGCACTCCTAACCACTACACCACACTGGTGATGGAGATGAAAGGGGATGTGGGAAGGAATGCAGAGGTGGGTGTGATCTCCTCCGGGACTTTCTCATGGGTCCCCGCTTCTATAGAAGTCTACTTTTACAGCCCTAAGAGAAAATAAACAGACCTGTGGACTTGAGTTGAAAATGTAAGCGGTGGTTGTACCTGCACCTCTGCATGCTGTCCGCTGGCCACTTTGGAAGCGATGACCTGCATCATGGTGACCCTGGGGCTTGAGCCGTTTTCACTGATCAAGTGATGGGCCCCCGGTTCTTCTTTTTCACCTTTAATAACTGGCCTGAAGGCTGGTGAAGACATTTTGGAAAATTCAGCAGACTCCAAAACACCAAAAACCTGATAAAGTAAAAGAGCAGGAAGCTTTAATGAAACAATGAATTCCCATTCCACCTCAGATCTCTGTTTATAACCCGAGTGGGCTAGCCTGTGAAAAATAAGAACATAAGAGAAGCCAATGTTGGATCAGACCAATGGCCTATCTAGTCCAACACTCTGTCACACAGTGGCCAGAAATACCAGGTGCCATCAGGAGGTCCAGCAGTGGGGCCAGGACACTAGGAGCCCTCCCACTGTTGCCCCCACCCCAAGCACCAAGAATACAGAGCATCACTTGCCCCAGCCTGAGAGTTCCTTCACATGGGAGCACCTTTTCTATGCCGCCATGGTAGCATTTGAGAGGTAATAATATTCTTGCAGACAGGGGCCTGTTGTAGGGGTCTCTGTTATCCAACGGATGTCCTCCCTTCCCATCCATGTAATAATCAGGTGGAGAGGACGTACCTATATAGAATCATAGAATCACAAGAGTTGGAAGGGGCCATACAGGCCATCTAGTCCAGCCCCCTGCTCAATGCGGGATCCACCTAGAGCATCGCTGACAAGTGTTTGTCCAGCCACTGCTTAAAGACAGCCAGGGAGGGGGGGAGCTCACCACCTCCCTAGGCAGCTGATTCCGCTGTGGCACAACTCTTACTGTAAAAAAGTTTTTCCTAATATCCTGGCAGCACCTTCCCGCCCTTAATTTAAACCCATGATTGCGAGTCCTCTCCTCTGCTGCCAACAGGAACAGCTTCGTGCCCTCCTCTAAGGGACAGCCCTTCAGATACTTCAAGAGAGCAATCATGATACCAGTCCTGCAAACATCATACTATAGCTCTGCTGTAATAACACATAAAGGGGCCCTTCAATTATCTCACACCCAGAAAACAACCAGCGTGGCTTGTATTTCTGGGTTTTTACAACTATATGGTGCTATCAAGTGTTTCAAGTAGAGCCACTGACAACATATTGTTTTAAGTAAAGCTTCATAGTTGGTTAGGGTTTTGGATTTTCCTCCTCAGGCCCTGGACCAGCTTTTCCTTCTCCTGCTATGGACCACAATGCACCATTCTCTCCTCTTCAGGACAGGCAACATGTGGTTCTACTTTCTCCATCTGCTTCCCCTTAGATTCCCTATCCGCACCCAGATTAGGGAACAGCCAAAGGCAGCACTGCTAAGATTGTGTCACTGTAATTAAATGCTATGTTATGCTTTTGCTTTCCTGTGCTCATCATTTTCTAGCTTTGTTATCTTGTCAGGGGAATAAAGATTTTCTTACTGGAGATTCTATCTCTCTGTGTCTCATCTTTCTAAGAATATTGATCTAGAAAGGGCATTGTGTAGGCAAGAAGAGGAGGAGATTGGATTTATACTAGGGGTGTGCATTCGGCTATAGCTGAACCGAAAAAATACCTGAAAAATACCTTGTTGGTATTTTTCAGGTATCACATAAGCTGAATACAGATCACAGTCCTGTATTCAGCTACCGGAATAGCTGAACACGGAAAAGCCATAATTATCCGGCTTTTTTTCAGGTTCATTTTGCTATACCGAAAAAGGTCTCATTAAACCTAACAGCCGCCTCAGCCACCAGTTCCTTCCCTGAGCCTCTCCACTATTGTGGAGAAGCCCGAGGAATTGGGCAGGGGCATGTTTAAATGCCTTTCTTTCCCTCCCCAAGATCGGGGAGGGAAAGGAAGGCATTTTAAACATGCCTAGGTTCTCCGCCTGCCCTTCTCCAGCTAACATCTGCCAGCTGGAGGAGGGAAAGGCAGCAAGCTGACTGGCCGGGAGTGAAATTGACAGAGAAATCTGAAAGGGCTACCAGAGGGAAAGAAGGCATTCTAACATGCCTCCTTTCCCTAAGGTGGTATAAATCAGACCCAAATATATTCAGGGATACCGAATATAGCCCCAATCCGAATACCTTACTGGTATTTTACTGGGGAAATTCGGCATTAACCAATATTTTACCCAATTTTACCCAACGCCAAAAAATACCAACATTTTTTTTTGCACACCCCTAATTTATACCCCGCCCTTCACTACCCAAAGGAGTCTCAGAGCAGTTTACAATCTCCTTTCCCTTCCCCTCCCCACAACAGACACCCTGTGAGGTAGGAGGGGCTGAGAGAGCTCTTTCAATAATTGCCCTTGAGATAACAGCTCTGAGAGAACTTGTGACAGACCCAATGTCACACCAGCAGCTGCATGTGGAGGAGTGAAATGGGTCCAAATAATAACCCCAGAACATGTGTATAAACAGGTCGAGGACAGTGTACATGGCAGATCTGGCACAGGAATTTGGGTAACAATACAGGGAAGGGGCTGTGGCTCAGTGGTAGAGCCTCTGCTTGGCATGCAGACAGTCGCAGGTACAACGCCCAGCATCTCCAGCTAAAAGGACCTATTCTAAAATCCTATAAATATGGGAAACTGAACTGACAGAGAGCTTCTTCTCAGAAGGGAATCTTCGCCTGTGACCTGCTTATTTTCAGGTAAGAAACTCCTATGGACTCATGTAATTGCTCTCCTTTAACTGTCTAGGATCTCCATGAGTTGGATTTCCATGTGTCCATGACGCAAGCTTGAAGGTATCTAGTTTTCTAAACACTTTGAGATTTTTTAAGGGTATTTTTTGGTATTTGTGTGTGTGTGTGCACGCAGGCGTTTATCTGCACCTGGAAGTCACATTGACCTCTGGTGACTGATCCCTACTGGGGGCCTGGAGGATATTCGGAGAGGTGGCTGAATAAAGCCTGCCTCTGACCTCCTGACTTGGTAAGGAAGTCTCCTATCCAAGTACTAACCACAGTCGACCCTGCTTAGCTTACGAAATTGGGCTTGCCTGGGCTATCCAGGTCAGGGCTAAAGGTAAAGGTAAAGGTTCCCTTGCTCGAAAGCCAGTCGAATCCGACTCTAGGGTTGCGGTGCTCATCTCCGTTTCAAAGCCGAAGAGCCAGCGCTGTCCGAAGACGTTTCCGTGGTTTATGTGGCCGGCATGACTAAACTCCAAGGTGCACGGAACGCTGTTACCTTCCCACCGAAGTGGTACCTATTTATCTACTTGCAATTTCTTGCTTTCGAACTGCTAGGTTGGCAGGAGCTGGAACTAGAGACAGGAGCTCACTCCATCATGCGGCACCTGGGTCTTGAACTGCTGAACTACTGACCTTCCACAGCCTGCAGTTCAGCGTCTTAACCACTTGAGCCACCGCAGCTCCTAGGTCAGGGCTACATTTTGACATATTAGAGATTCCTTTCCTCTTGTTTCTTTATGCAAACCTTGTAAATTTTCATTTAAAACAATTTTTTTGGAGAAAAAAAAACAGTGAACAAACACAAAGTCCCTCAAAGTTCTCAATGCCTAAATTTTAAATTACCTGATCAATCATTTTCCGAGCTTCTTCCACTTCTTTATCTTGCGATTCGGTCTCAATGGTGTAGGTGCCTGTTTCGCTCAAACTGTCCTCTTCCTCGTGCTTCCGAGCTTTGACCAAGTTAGGATCGACAGCAGGCGTAGAGACTGTTTCCGGTGGTGAGGGTACTACTACACGTGGGGTGAGCGGTGCGGGCATAGGAGGTGGCTTCTCTGCGGCTTTCACGGCTTGAGAGCTCTCTTTTAGGCATTCGGCAGCAAAATCCTGTGCAATTTTCGACTTCCGCCCAGCGCTGCCATAATTTTTTACCGATGACTTCGATGTGGAGGATGAGGAAGAGCTGATCCGTTCCTCCGTCTTCTCCCTCTTAAAGGAGCCGGCTCTCGGAGCGTTGAAAGGGCCTGGCCCTTTAGGTCCTACAGGTGCTAGGTGTGACGGTGGTGCGGAACTCCCTGGTTTCTCAGCGGGGACAGTAATTTTGCGTTTCTCAACCTTGGTCTTCAAGGCGGGATCCACTTCATTCTGGGCGGAGTGGCCGCTGTGTGTGAAAGACTGCGACCTCTTCTTCCGGGGAGTGTCGTCATCAAAGAACTCAATGACAAACGCCTGCTGGTTGTGAAGCATTTCCTGAGGGTCGCGCCGAATTTGCCGCTGGAGTTTGGCTTGCTCACCCGCGTGGTCGTGGACAGCCGACTCCTTTTCGGGTGTGGGTGCGACTGGGTCTTCCGAATCACTCTGTGTTCCATCTTCGTGCCTGTTACCTGCAAAGTTCGTGCACAATTAGAGTTGTTTGGTTAAATAAGCTCCGTACCAGGACCTCAATCTCACTGCACTAGCCTTTTCAAGACCATTGCTCTGGAAACTCAGATATTTTGTAACTTAAAACTGTGCAAAGGTTATGATTCAATTGCTGGTCTTGCTAGCATGATATTTATCCAACCTGGAGCTTAATTGCTTGAGTCATCTGGAAGAATCTTCCAGCAAAACTTGCACCTGCTCTCTGCTTGTTCATACTCTGATCTACAACAGGACAACCTCTTTGGCCTGAATGTCGGGGGGGGAGCACCCATAATATCTATTTTGGAAGACGCTGGTGGGAGAGGTGGGTCACAAGAGCAAGACGCTATGACTGTTTTCAGAATGTCAGCATGAAGCATCAGAGGCTATGCTCTGATGCACACACTTATTTATTCATTTATTTCCATTATTTGTTTGTTTCATTTTACTTATCTATTAAAATTATACCCCGCCCTACCGCCAAAAATGGGCTCAGGGCAGCTGAGTCCACCTTTCTCACTGAAGCTCAAGGCGGATTACAATGATGTAAGCCAATGCAATCAACAGAATTACAAATATAATGTGGAGGAAAATAAAACCAGCGTAATATCTTGCCCTAAAAGGTGCTTTGCAAGCAGGAGCCAAGTCGGGCGCCAGATCACCAGTGGGAGATTTTCCATTCAAACTTCCAGCTCCCAGAACTAGGAAGTTCTACAGGAACACAGTCTGAATGGACACACGTGACACTACTAATCTTGTACTGAATCAGACCCTTAGTCCATCACACTCAGTATTGTTTGGTGCAATGCCCAGTTTGGTGTAGTGGTTAAGTGCGCGGACGCTAATCTGAGAGAACCGGGTTTGATTCCCCACTCCTCCACTGGAAACTGCTGGATGACCTTGGGCAAGCCATAGTTCTGTCAGAGATGTCCTTGAAAGGGTAGTTCTTGAAAGAGCTCTCCCAGCCCCACCTACCTCACAGGGTGTCTGTTGCAGGGAGGGGAAGGGGTTTGTAAACTGCTCTGAGACTCCAAAAGAAGGGCGAGGTATAAATCCAATCTCTTCTCTTCTTCTTCTTCTATTGTCTACCCAGACAAGCAGAGTGGCTCTCCGGGGTCTCATGCTATTCATATGAACTCCTACCTGGTCCTTTTAACTGGAGATGCTACAGACTGACCCTGGGACCTTCTGCATGCCAAGCAGGTGCTCTACCACATATTCACAGCCCCTCGTCTGCCTCAGGACCAGCCCAGCTTCCAGTCTGGCTTTACTTAAGCACACTGGACTCAATCTGCTTCTAACCCTCTTATTACATGATTTCAGTATTTGGACTATCTAGTACTGGTACAACTAAGACAATGTTTAAATGAATTATCCATACAACTTAGAGACAAGAACGTTCCAGTAAGAAAAAGGAAATTGAGTGTTTTGCCCAAATGAAGCAAAACACAGGGAACGTTTTGCAGCAGCGCCATTGCGAAGAGCTTCACTGCACATCCAATTCAAATACACATATTTGCAACCTGTGAGTACCTCAGCAATCAGAGTAAATTAAAAAGCCTGCACTCCAGTTAAAAAGCTGCTAGAGGGAGGTGCTAACAGGTCAAGCCAGGATTCTTCTTATTCCTGATTCACACTAACACAGTAAGAGTGCAATATCTACTTCGGAAGACACGGGGCGCCCACTCAGCCTCGACTAGGGCCAGGGCTTTTCCCACCCTGGCAGAACACGCTCCCAGTTGAGATCAGGGCCCTGTAGGACCTACTACAGTTCCACAGGGCCAGTAAAACGGAGCTGTTCCACCAGGCCTTTGGGTGAGGCGGGGGTAGGGTGACCAAGTACGTACCGCGAATCGGCAGGGGACACATGGTCCCCGGCCGGAACATTCCTCCCTGTAACACACCCACGCCGCACCATGCCGTCGCCAGGAAGTGACGCCGGGTGACGCTCTGGCACTGGGGCTGGAAACTCGATGGTACCATCGAGTTTTCAGCCCCAGTGCCAGAGCGTCGCCCAGCGTCACTTCCTGGCAACAGCATGCTGTGTTACAGGGAGGACTGGTCCGGCCGGGGAGCATGTTTCCCCCACCGGATCGCGGTAAGTACTTGGGAACCCTAGGTGGCCTGCTCTGGATTCCTCTCAAAGACAGCTCAATAATGTGGCCTTGTGGCTGAAAGTTCTCTGACAGAAATCCTGGGACCTCCCGGCGGGCACCCAACTATTTGGCCTCCCTTGCTGAAGTGCTCCATCTTTATGCCGGCCATACTAAGAAGATCGACAGCTTGCGGACTATGGCTTGAGCTGCTCCAGTCATCGGAGACCATTACACTTCTGTACTTATAGTGCTCCCCGTTTTAAATTACGTGCTTTTAACTGCTTTAACTAACTAATCATGATGACTGTTTTTAAGGATTGCAAAATTGTTCTTGTGATGCGCCCTGAGCCTGCTTGTGGGGAGGGCAGAATATAAATTGAATTAATAAATCCTAGGACTTTCCTGGGAGCAAGTCCCATTGAATAGACCTGAGCAGGATTCTGAGTAGATCTGATTAGGATTGCTCTCTAAAACTAAGAGCCAAATGGGATATTACTGGGCACAGTACCCCTATGAGGCCAGAACTTGTCTTGCTTAATTTATGGGAGGAGACAGAGGTTCCTGCTGTCAAGAAAGATCTCATTTCTTATATGTTGGTGGCAGCCAAGACTTTAGTGGCTAACATTGGAAAAATAGTATACAACTCTCTTCGAAGATGTGGTTCAGTAAGTTATGGGAATACCTGGTCATGGACAAAATATCAGATATTATTTCCTTGGCAGAGAATCCGGAGTTTCATTCAGATTTTTTGGAACGTTAGTTCCCTTTTCTTGAATATATGGAAAGACATAGTACACTTTAAAAGGCACTCCCTGATAATTTGAAGGTTTATTTATTTTTATTTATTTTGTAGCTATATATTGTATAGATAAGGTTGTAGCTATATATTGAATAGCTGTTTGGTTTTATTGCTCTTGTATTTTTTGTGTTTGTAATTATGTTGTTATTGTTGTGGGTTCCTAATAGTATAAGTAAAAGTAAAGGTTTCCCTTGCTCGAAAGCCAGTTGAATCTGACTTGGGGCGGTGCTCATCTCCGTTTCCAAGCCGAAGAGCCAGCACTGTCCGAAGACTTTCTCGCGGTCAGTCAGCATGAATAAACGCCCAGGTGCACGGAACGCTGTTACCTTCCCACCAAAGCGGTACCTATTTATCTACTTGCAATTTCTTGCTTTCAAATTGCTAGGTTGGCAGGAGCTGGGGCCAGAGACGGGAGCTCACTCCGTCGCACGGCACTAGGGTCTCGAACTGCTGAGCTACCGACCTTCTGGTCTGCAGGCTCAGCACCTTAACCTCTGAGCCACTGCAGCCCTAATAGTATGTGCTACTTTAAACTGTTGTTATATTATATAAATAAAAGATTTTTAAAAAATAAAAATAAAACTAAGAACCCTGCTCCGATCCTTCCCAGGAGTTACTATAAACTCCATGCTTACCTTTCAGAGTTCTCACGTGCACTGGGAGATCGCTTTTGGTGCTGTACACATCGTCTCCCACTGCCTGCCTTCTCATGAGACATGGGTCATTCTGTACCAACCAGTCGGCCACTTTGTTCTCCGCCGAAATCATTTCGGTGTGGCCGGCTTCCTTGCTGTGGTTTCTCCTCTGCCTGAGCGAAAATTTGGTAACGTGGTCTTTTATCTTGATCTTGCCTGGAGTGCAGTCGTCGAATTCAATGGTGAAAGAGGCGTGGCTCTGCACGACAGGCGGCACTGCCATGTCGACATCCTTGGTGGGAATCTCGTGGACTTGCGCCTCTGGGGATTTCACCGGCTGCTGGAACTCTTTCGTCGGGATTTCGAAATAACTCGGTTCTCTTCGGAAGGCGTAGACAGAGTCTCCTTGAGAGTCTCTGTAGCCGGTGATGTTACCGTTGATTTCTTCTTCATTGTGGGCTATTTCTTTTGCTCTTTCTAAAGGGTAAAAATGAAAAATTAAGGGGGAGGGAATGGTAGTCAGAACATAACCTGAGGTTGACACGGTTGGTGTGCTTTAGAAACCGAACAGTAGGTTGCTTTTACTATTTTAACGTGATGTTGGAACTTTTATCTCATTTTACCCTGGTCTTTCTCCATGTTGTTCAGAGTTCTCCATTTCCTATTTCACTATTGTTAACAACTCTGTGCCTGTGGTAGGTTAGAGTGAATGTGACCAGCCCAGGATCACCCAAGGATCTGCATACATGGAAACTGCCTTATACTGAATCAAACCATGGGTTCACCATTGGGTTGCCAACTCCCAATTTCGGAGGGCCCAATCTGCTGCTGACCAGCTGGCTGGCGGGGGAACGCCACCCCTACAGAGCCCCACCTCACCCAGGTACCCAGACATATCACACGGGAGACACTCTGGCATTTGGCTAAAAACTCTATGGACCATAGAGTTTTTAGCCAAATGCTTGAGCACCCCCTGTACAACATGCCCAGTGTGATGACATCACTTCTGCATGCCAGAAGACCCCAGGGCCAAGCCAGGAACCCCCCCGCCGGCAGATGGGTCAGACCTGGCAACCCTAGTCCATCAAGGTCAGTATTGTTTACTCTGATTGGCAGCACCTCTCCAGAGTCTCAAGCAGGGGTCTTTTCCCATCAACCTCTACTTGGTCCTTTTAACTGGAGACACCAGGGATTCAAACTGGGAGTCTAGCGCCATCACTCTACGCTGGCTCTACGATGATTTGACTGACTTGGATTCCCCGGGTTTGTTCTGCTGGTGCAGAACAACTCTTCAGTTTGAGGAGGAGGAAGGGAAGGGGATTGTTGCGGATTCTCCCCCTTCTGCTCCAGATTTGAGTTTTGCTCCACACTGGCCCCGGTCACACGGAAGGTTTTGGCCCGGGAGAGGGACGGCTCGGGGGCGCAGCAAACGGGCGCGATCACACCGCAACATCTGGGAATCGGCATGCACCCGTCCCCGATCCGTCCCTTCAGACCTAAAGTGCGCATCAAAAAAGAACCTGCAAAAGAGCAGGACTTACCTGGAATGCCACAAAAAGTGCAGCCGTGGGATCGCCGGCGCGCCCATCTTCAATAGCAATCCAGGCTCCCGGCCGAACTGCGCAAGTGCACACATGCGCAGTTCAGCTGCCTCGCTCTCCCTGCAGTGGCTTCCCCCCGGCATCTGATCGTGCCGGGGAGGAACTGCGCGGCGGCTCAGGGGATCTATCTGATCCCACCGCCACGTGTTTCTTTTGGTGCGGCTTTAAAAAGCCGCACTTGGGCCGTGCTTTCTCTCCCCATGTGGCAGGGGCCACTCTGTTTTTTCAGGTCCACTGACCCAAAGAAGCAGCTCACACAAAAGGCCGCAGTATGAGTGGAAGATGGGTACGTTCTCTTTCTTTAGCACAATTCGGCTCACACTGCTTAGAATCCAAGCCGGTATATTTCAGTGTTTTGTAAGCCGGTTCAAGAAACCTGGAGGTGTCCACCACTTTTATCCTTCCTTCTTCTAATATATGGTTCTACCTTCCTAGATTTTACCATCAAAATACCCATTATTATTATTTTAATTTTTTTAACTATATTGTCAGCCACCTTGAGTTCTGCAATGGAGAAAAGCATCTAATAATTTTTTAAAAATAAATAAATAAATAAATACCTGAATAAATTTCTTCTTGTCTCCTGTCATCTGATGTCTCCAACTTATTATTGGCATCATCCTCACCCCACCATGATGGCTGGCCATAAAGGGGTGTGCGGTGTGTACTCATTGTCGTCTCTGGAGATGAGGGCGGGATTTTTTTTTTTAAAAGCAAAAATTAAAAAGTTTCAAGTTAGCTTCCTGGAAGGCACCACAAGAGAAACATCACCTGTTTCTAGAAGTTGATAGAAGGTGATTATAGCGTTCTAGATGATAGAGCACATCTTTATTCCTAAGAATGCCTTTTAGGAAGCTAGAGAATGCGTTTAACTAAACTGTGTTCTAGTCAAAGTCTACTTGTCTCTGCTTAGACACCAGAAGTTGGTAAAACTCCCTCACTACAAACACTAAGGCTCAAATCTGAATTTAAAGGTAGCATCCACACATCGCTGAATATTACACTACTGTCATGGTTTCAGCGACTGCTTTTCCCTGGTCTAGACGGAAAAATATAGGAGCAAAATAGCAACAACAGAGCAATGTCTAAAAATGTATAGATGTGGCTAGTTTTTATAAAACCTTAATTAAACACAGTTCATAACCTTAGCCACATCTCTTTAACCGCAGTTAAGACCTGTGCAGATGCATCCCTTATCCATAATTAAAGCAATGCTGATGCAGAATTCCAGACCTCAGTTTCCTTGTCATAGTGAAGGAACACCCAGCATTATAGTTGCATTGGTCTAAGAAGAAGTTGTCAAAACACAACAGCTATTAAGAATGTAAGAACTAGAACATAGGAAAATCCATGCTGGATCAGGCCAATGGCCCTTCCAGTCCAACACTCTGTGTCACACAGTGGACAAAAACCAGGTGCCATCAGGAGGTCCACCAGCAGGGCCAGAACTCCAGAAGCCCTCCCACTCTTGCCCACCAAGCACCAAGAATACAGAGCATCACTGCCCAAGACAGAGTGTTCCATCTATACCTTCTAGCTAATAGCCACTCATGGAACCCTTCTCCATATGTTTATCCAATCCCCTCTTGAAGCTGTCCTGCAGCAGTGAATTCTACATGTTAATTATTCTGGGTGAAGAAGTACTTCCCTTTCATCTGTTCTAAACCTACTGCTCATCAATTTCATTGAGTGTCCACAAGTTCTTGTATTGTGAGAAAGGGAGAAAAATACTTCTTTCTCTACCTTCTTTATCCCATACATAATATTTCCAAATCTCTATCATGTCACCCCTCAATTGTCATTTCTTCATGCTAAAGAGCCCTAACCTCTTTTAACCTTTCTTCATAGGGAAGGTCTTTTGTCCCCTTAATCATTTAGTTGCACCTTTTCCAATGTATAATATCTTTTTTGAGGTGCTGTGACCAGAACTGTACACAGTATTCCAAATGAGGCCACAACATATACAGGGGCATTATGATACTGGCTGATTTGTTTTCAGTCCCCTTCCTAATAATCTCCAGCATAGCATTTGCGCTTTTTTCTCTTTTTCTTTTGCAGACACACATTGAGTTGACATCTTCAGGAAGTTATCTACCACGACTTCAAGATCTCTCTTCTGGTCAGTTACCGCCAGTTAGGATTTTTTGCTCCAATGCACATTACTTTGCATGTGCCCACACTGAACTTCATTTGCCATGTTGATGCCCACTTGCCCAGCCTCAACAGATCCCTTTGGAGAGCCTCGCAGTCCTCACTGGTTCTCACTGCCCTAAACAACTTAGTGTCATCCACAAACTTGGCCATTTCACAGCTTAAATCCCAACTCCAAATCATTAATGAACAAGTTAAAAAGCTCTAGACCTAGTACCGAGCCCTGTCGTACCCCACTGCTAACCCCCTTCCACTGTGAAAACTGCCCATTTATACTCACTCTCTGTTTCCTTTTAATTAACCAGTATTTAATCCACAAGAGGACTTGTCCTCTTATCCCATGATTTTTGAGCTTACTTAGGAGCCTTTGTTGAGGAACTTTATCACAAGCTTTCTGGAAGTCTAGATAAACAACATCTACTGGGTCACCCTTGTCCACATGTTTGTTCACCTCCTCAAAGAACTCTAAAAGATCTTCCCTAACAAAACCCATAGCTGATTCTTCCTCAATAGTTTTTGTTCATCAATACAAACCCATAGTTTCACTATTATTACAAATACTTCACATCAACTTAGAATAGGGCTGCCAAGTCGGGCCGGGGGGCGGGGAAACCCCCGCTTTGGAGGCCCGATTTCCGCCGCAACGGAATTGGGCCCCGGGGTTTTTTTTTATTTCCGACGCCCTAGGAAGTGACGGGGGCACGCTGGGCACGCTAGGGGTGGGGCCGCGGCCATACAAGGGAAAACTCTATGGTTTTCCCTTGTATGGCCGTGGCCCCGTCCCCAGCTTGCCCAGCGTGCCCACGTCACTTCTGGGTGATGTGCACGCGGCGCGCGCGCTCCCGGCGAAGAATTACTTGGCAACCTTAACTTAGAAGCTTAGATTTTATTTTTTTATTCCTTCACAGTCTTATTTGATATTTCTACACTTTAAACAAATAACAATATTTTTATTCTGTCATGGTTTTTGCCTTCATTGACCTCAAAGCCTTTTTCCAGAGCCTTGGCCTTTGACCACCTACCAGCTAACTGCGTTGTGTTTGGAAACTCAGTTTCCAGTCCCACTCTGCAGGGCTGACTTTTCTTATTACTTCCCTGAGAAGCCGGGAGACTTGTCCTTTCCCTCCTGGGCTGTAGGGATAGACTGAAAGGACTGGTGACACCTACCGAAACTAGGGTGAGACTTCGTCTCTCACTGGTATTTTGTAACTTTGTTTTGCTGCAACCCCTTTATAACCAAAAGTCCTTAACGGGGGTTGGGAAAGGGACTTTTGACAGAAACATCAATGGTTAGCGAAGACCAGTAATTAGTGAGGAGGAAGAACCAAGTGAAAAGAAATGGCTAATGAAGACATTAGCCACCATCTTTAAATGAATTGGGTCACTGGAAAAAAACCTGCACACCTTCCTTCGCTACCGCTGTCTTATGCACACAAAAAAGAACAAAGATATATTTATGTAAATACTTTAGGCATCAGTACAGGTGTAGTAATAACTGAGGGAACAGAACGCACAGAACAGTGGTACTTCCAGTCTCCCCTTCACACAACACATGCTGCTTATCACCATGGCTGATATGGTCCTGAAGACCTGTTTCCAATGCTCCCTCTAAGCTGTTGAGTCTTGTGAGCAAAAATTCCACTTTGTGAGCTACTGGCATTAAAATTGTGAACGAGCGATTTGGCTACTGCATAAATTAGTCCATCCTGGAGCCATCCTTCCCAGGCGAAGACAAAAATGTGTGAGCCAGATGCTAAAAAACTGTGAGCTAGCTCACACTAACTCAGCTTAGAGGGAACACTGCCTGTTTCTCCTCTGCATCCAACTACGCAGAAAGGGTGGCAAAGTCAGGTCAGCAACCACATACAGGTTTTCATTTATGGTACGTGTTCCACTGCTTTATTTCTGTTTATATGCCTACCCTGCTTTGCTCCCAGATAGGGATACGAAACAGCTTTCAACATCGAGCTCCCCTTCCTCCATTTTATGCTCACAACAACTAGCCTGTGAGGTAAGTTGGCTGTGAGAGAGGAAACGACTGGCCAAAGGTCACCCAAATGAGCTTCCATGGGAGAACGAGGATTTGAACCTGTGTCTCTCAGCTCCTGCTCCAGCACTATAGCCGCTACACCATATTGGCTCTCCCTGGTGACTCTCCAAAACCTGAACTTTCTTCAGAAGAACTTTTTTATGGGAATTGGCTTGCAATGTCTAGGTTCCCCTCTTTAAGAGGATTAAATTTCACCACAGGTTTTGCCTCTGTCTTGAGTTCTACCTGGGGCCATAATATGTCTTATTTTAACCATTCCAACACACCCTGAGCATTAGGAACGGGGCTTGCTAGGACTTGAAATGCATAATCCGCGTTCTCTCATGTAAACGTAAGAGATGGTTCTTCTGCCAGTTCCTTCCATGATGTGAACCGAGTTTCTCCTTATTAATAATGACAATAACAATAATTTATGCAGTACCCATAGAATGTGAGAGTAGGCCTAAGATACCCGTCACGATTGTCCTAAATGATCATCATTCCTGATTTACAGAGAGGGCACTCGTAGCTAGAAAAAAAGAGCCAAGCTACAAATTTCCAGGGGTGTCAAACTCATTTGTTACGAGGGCCAGATCTGACATAAATGTCACTTTTTCAGGCCAGGCCATTTGAGCCATAAAATGTAGCACCAAATACCGGAGGTATAAACTTTATAGAGGACACAGGCAAACCCAATTAACGATATTATTTTTACTCGAAATACAAGCAGGCTTCAAAGACAACCAGTTTTGATCTATAGACCTTCCAAGACCTTCCAGGAAAAGGAAACAAACGCAAAGTCTCCAGGGTGCAGGCAGAAAATTACCCAGCTTAATCAGAGCAATTCAGTTTTTACCTCAAACCTCACAATCCCAGGGGAGGACAAGAAATGAAGCGACCAGATCACGTATTTCCAGTTGTTCTTATTATACAATAGGTCTACCTCAGATGTATTTCCAGTTCTTATTATACAATAGGTCTACCTCAGTGGTCAAGTCGCCTGTGTCTAATGTCCACCCTTGTTCCTGTCTGCCTCTGAAAGAGGACCAAACAACCCAGTCAGCAGCACCAATGAAAGTGTTTCCTGACTACAAAAGCTCATCTTTGCTAAGCCACTGGGAAGGGGGAACACCACTTCGATACGTGCCAATCTCCACAGGTCTGAGGCAGATGATATAGCAAACTTTGCTTGAAGTATGGGGTAGGAACGTTTTCTCACACACGCCTGTGCAAGCAATTGTTAACTGTGTCTCCTAGGGCCACAGTCAGGACTTTGTGATTGATCGATGCCATGATACTGCTTAAACATGGGGACTCCTTAAGCATTACCCTAATCGTGCTGAAACAACTGTTCTGTGTGTTTCTCCCACACAACTGAGGTAATGTTTAAATGACTCAATCGGGTGGGCAGGGGCCAATCACACAGGTGGCCTTCTGTGGAACTGGCACCTAGCCAGCAAGGGGTGCCAATTACACAACCATATTCACGCAATCGACCCA